TAGTGGGGGGAAATCACTTATTCCATAAGTAATTTAAGGATGTTATTTATGTACTATTTTACTAATCAAAGATCGGGTAATTAATGGATCTCCTTTATCGTGTTTCATTGAGATGTTTATTAATCTAATATTTTACTAATAAATATATAAAAATAATATATCTTGTTTTGTACTTTTCCCATTGGTTGGAGTCTATCAAGAATAGCATATGGAAATATTAATTAGTCATAGCTTATCCACATTTGACCTAAACTTATTGATTAAAATAAGCTAAGAGAGAAGAAGTACGTCCATTCTCCAATAAACAACTAGCAAGCTTTTTTTGCACTATTCACGCGATAACATTGTTTATTATAAGAATAAAAAAATCGAAAGGGGAGCTCTACAACAATAGTAAAACTATATCTCTATGTAATCTATATGTCATGGATTCGAGTTGTGAAAACAATTACTAGTATACTTGCATTAGAATAGATTATCTATATCATATTCTTTGAAATACGATTTTTTTTCAAATTTCGCTGACACGAGATATTTTGTGCACCGAGCGGCTCTGACTACCTAGAACATACTAATTCGGAGGGAGTTTCTCATGGTATTGTTAAACCACTAATAGTGCTTCTTAACTTTTCTGTTGACCTTGTTTTCTTTAAGGTAAAAGATGGTTAAAATCCATTTGATTAATTTTCTTATTTAAAAATAAAAAGAAACTATATGAATCCATATGAAGATTCTAATCATAAAGTTTTTGGGCTATTTTTAGTTTTTCTTTTTATAATATTTTCTGTATCCATTAGTGCTATGTCTTTGGCTCTAGTTGTCTTATATGAGTTTAAGTGGGGTTGTTACAATATTTTGGTAAAAAGAAAATTGTGGTCCAAAGTTTTAACAAAAGAACTTATATTTACTTGTATTTTATGAACTTAATGAGATAATATGTATAACCTTATGCATATTAAATAATCAAAAGATCTTAGTAAGATTTTTCAATAATGCTTGATCATTATTTAGTTCTTATATATATATA